CATCCAGTAAACGACGTAGGATTTATGTTTACATTAGAAACGAAAAAATCTGTGTTTTTTACAGAAGTTTATACTACAGGAGCGTTTCACACGATGTTGAAATGGAACGCCATGATTCTTAATAGATTACATGTTTTAATTCACAACGTATGTTAAATAACTACAACAACAATATTTATAACTACATCCGCATTATCAGAACATAGCAATGTACTAAACCCCCGTCCACATTAGAAGCCCAGTGGGCTTCTATTATGTCCCGCAAGAAAGGCAAAATTTTTTTAAAAATTTACCTTATGGAGGCAGGGCAATATTCAAAAAATTTTTTGCCAGACTAGGCTTCTATTATGGCTTCTAATGTGAGGGGGGTTTAGAGCTTCTCTACTGCTTTAAAAACCATTCGGTAAGACGAAAATGTTTTTCGTTTATTGGAAAAGAAGCAATCAATGACAAGATATTAGTCGTCCATGCGTCATTCTATGCTTAGAGGGTACGTAGCTTCGCCCAGTATTACATGATTTGAAAGCCCGTGACAAATGACTCTTATCATCGTGCTGAGCATGAAAAATCACTTATAAATGCAAGCTGTTCAAACAGTTCCGAGAATGGCCACTCATAGCTCGCAAAAGACGATTTTACCCGTTTTCAAGAACCTCTGAGTATCTAAATACGAATTTCACACTGTATCCGAATTTTTCTAACAGTGATGTCGAAATGAGCATGAAAGGTGGCATATGCTCCAGCAAAAATTTAATTTTTCTAGATTTTTACAAAGATTTCTGGAAAATCAACCACAAAAATTTGTTCGGCCGGAATTGAAACTCGGCGGCCTTTGTACAGCTACTCGAATAGTATCTAGGACAATAATATCTCGAAAATTTCACATGTAACTTTGGTGGGGACAGCTCACAAAGTTCAAAAGTAGGTATCGGATGCGGGGGTATTGGAGCTAAACGGTAAGTATTTTCAAACTTGTTCTTGTAGAATTCAGACAAGCTTCAATGGCGCTTTTATTTGGATACAAATTTTGTAGGATTTCATTTTGTTTTGAGTTAGCTGTGACCGTAGCAAAAAGTACAGTTTTGTTCTAAAACAATGGGCCCCCAAACGAAAATTAGTTTACGCTTTGACGATAAAAACTGGATTTCAGGGAAACTAATATGTAACTTTCGATGCTCCATCTAGCTACGAGGAACAGGGTACTTCAGGTTCTCTCGTAGTCTCTGAATATTCGGTTAGAAAAACCATATAGAGTCACATCTTATTGCCAAGGAAAAACCACGTTCGGAACAACTTTTCCATAGAGCGAGTATGGGCTTTTAGTCAAAAAACAGAATCAAGTTTTTTCATCATGCTTTAATTGCCTAAATAAAGATAATTCGATTAGAATGGAAACAAGAAGAACAATTAGTGCACGCTTAAAGGTCTATGATGCGAAAATATGAGTTAAGACTGTCTTGAGGATTATAAATGATCAAACGTCCTTCTGATTAGAACAGAGTCACTTTAATTCAGACCTTACAGATTATTTTTAATAACGGCAATGCTTGTCCGTAACGATACACAATATATTCGTGATGTTGAAGTCCAGTTCCATGAAGAGAATGAAAACCCTTTGGTGCTGAAGCTAATGTAGGACTACTATCCATTTCAATGAACAGTGCACTCGGTTGTAAGTTGAATAACTCCAGAACGAAAGCAGCTAAAGACTTGCGGTTTTCAGCATTCGAAAGAGAGTCATATTTTTTATATGGAAATGTCAAATCTGATTGGTCAAAATTGACCAATCAGGATCGTTCTTGATGGACATCTTAAAACCTATATTTCGAAGGCATTTAGCATTGGACTTAGAGTTTTGACATGACCATTCGCTAGAGAAGATAGTTCTCTTTCGATCTGCGTAAGACCGAGCCCGCTAGCGTGTTTCGTTCAGGAGTTATACGCATTTTCCCGAGGGCCCCAAACGGCATTTTCAGTGATTTTCGGGGTTTTTCGACCCTTCGTCGAAGTCAAATCGCCGAACAAAGTGTATATTCGGAATCAGCATGCAAAACTACGTTGAGTGACATGTCTTTAACTTTCATTTTTTTCCATTTTTGTCCGCTCTGTGGTTCATGGCATGTTTATGGTGAAAAAAGGAAAGTTCTCAAATGAAGATTAAAGACATGTCACTCGACGCAGTTGCTTTCCTTCTGGAGTTATTCAACTCACAACCGAGTGCACTGTTCATTGAAATGGATAGTAGGTGTATTCATCATCGACCCAATACCTAATAAAACTTTATTATAATACTTACATAACGTGTGTTTGGTCAGTTGCAAGGGTATGTGAAAATGAAAAACGTTTTTGATGTCTCGAAAACCCTCTCGAAAGGTAGTCACGAAAATCCATAGGCTTTCATACAGCAACATCTTCGAAAACCATTTTTAATTTTCCGAGAATACTCTCTTCTTTTACAGTGCAGAGCTAGGTGTTTCAGCTATTCTCTTTAGCTTATCATACATACCTTGATCGCTAGGGGATCTATTTTAAAAATTGATTTCAAACAGTTATCCAGCTTCATGTAACCGTTGAAACGAAAGATATATTAGTTTACGGTTCGTATTCTACTTTTGTCTGAGTAAGTCATCATTGACGTTGAAACGTAATAAAAAAAATAAAATAATAAAGAGTCTCCAAAATAAATTGATACTGAAAAACAAACCACTTACTGAACTGCAACCATAAAGAAACAAGAAAACACTCGCAGTATATATTTTCTACGTAATAGCGAGATCTACAACAAAATACTTTGAATAAAATATTACAGAGAGGGCGCGGCACCTTGTTTTGAAAGAGAAAAGCTTGTTCTATAAGTGTATATTTTTTAAAATGTTTTGGACTAAAGTTTACAGCGTTATGAATTTTTTTTAAAATCTATCGTTTGGACGGTTCTCAGAAAACTTCGAAAAGCCTTCGATATCAGATAAAACGATATGGATTATGAGAGTAAATAGTTTGGGCTAACGAATCATAAGTAAATCGCCACACTAGGATTTTCATAAAAAATCTCTTCTCTAGAGCGGTGTACTTATCAAGTACAGTAAAAGTTTTAGATATACTAGGCTGGCCTGATCTGAGAATAACATCTGACATGAATAAACTTATTATTTTCAGAGACATATTATCGCACGATACGCCCGAATATTTGCGCGTACGTATTCAAAAAATTGATCCAATTCCTTACTCGCTTCGCAGCTGGTCTGAGTTGGAACAGATGCATTTAAATTTTCCACATGCCGAGAAATCTTTTTTCCCTTACACAACTTCTGTGTGGAATTTATTGCTAGATAACGTAAGACTGAATCACTTTCGTCTGGATTTGGTCTGCATCTCTTAGCACACTCGATCCTCTCCTTCCTTTCTTCTGCCATTTGTTTGTTCCCTTTATGCCATTTTTCTCTGTTCTTTGTTATTATGTATTTGCACTCTTTTCTTCGCTACTTTCCTTCCTATTTTTTCTATTTTTTATTGGCATTTTTATTGGCATTTTTATAAACATTAAAAATCTTATTTAAAACAGTCAGATCTTTCGGACAAACACTAGAAATCGATGATGGCGCTATTGAGTACCTTAAAATAGTGACATACGCTAGCTCCATTAGGGACTTTTCTCAATAAGAACCAATTGTTCATAAAGTTTGATCACTTCAAATGGAATATAGCATAATTTCGGCTTATAATTGAAATTTCCATCCAATGTTGAGTCTCACACATTAAAAAAGAGATGGCGCTTGTTTGCTTTTGATTATAGGAGTCATCAATTGTCAGGTCACACATTATTTCTTGTTCTCTTTCACGGATAAAAAAAGAAAGAAAAGAAAAAGTCCGTATGACTCAGCACTGCTTTTCTCTTTTATGTGTAACTGTTGCCGTTCTCCCATGTGTTCGATTGCGCTTAAACTGCGGCATAATGTGAGTCACGATTGCACCACAATCGATAAAAAAACGAGTCTATTGACTGATTCGATATAAGATGTTAGTTATATTAACCTTATTTCTCCTTCCGCTTCTTCTTTGTCTTCCGAAGAAAGCTGAACATCAAGCTGAAATATATGTCTCGTCGTGAACTATCCAGTTTTCGATGGAACGGCATTCAATGGGCTGTCGCCACTGCACCACCTCAATGCGAAGCAGAGCAATCCAACAACACTGCTCCAGGCAAACGTAGTACGATGCCGACAGTTGGAGCGACTGTTCGCGTGGCTACCTTCAACATACTGGCGGATAGCTTCCCGTGGTTCATAAAAATGGCCATACGCAGCGCGGAGAGGTTCGAGTGGCTGTGTAATAGCATTATCATCCTCAAACCTACCATCGTTGGACTAAATGAAGTCACTGTCACTGCATTACAGTACTTGCTACAGTGCCCGTTCATTCGCGAGAACTATTTTATCACAGAGGCACTTGAAGAAAAAGACGACGGTGATACTGGGCCTCGCATGGTCTGCAGTAACGATATTCTTTCCCCTCACGGATGCGTCATTCTGAGCAAATTGCCGCTGCTTGAGGTATTCGCGATTTCAGTATCGGGCAGTGGTCGTGAGGCCGTTGTTGGAAAAGTTCAACTGGGCAGCGATTTAGAATCATGTGCCTATTTTTGTGCCCAACATTGCACTGCGTACCAAACACCGAAGAATGCTCAGTTGCGGGCACAGCAGATTCGTGATATTATCAGTGTGCTGCGGCCTCTGTCTCTTCCGTTCGTCATTGTGGGTGATCTCAACCTTCACTACGAGTCCGAGGATGCTGTGGTGGTCGAGAATGACCTCGTCGATGCATGGGCACAAACACATTTTTCCCGGGTGCATCTGTTCAACGACGGGAACGCTGGCTACACGTTCGACGCAGTGAAAAACACACTCATTCCGCGTTACATCCCTGGAGAGAGCAGACAGATGCGATTGGATCGTATACTCTTCTCTCGCGAGTTCCCAGCCCTCGCCGCAACACCTTGTGCCATGTGGGCGGATGGTCCTGTCAAATCTGACAATTATCTGTTCCCCAGTGATCACTTTGGGCTCTTTATCGACATTGTTCCTGGAGTACCAGGTGAAAGTAGAGAAGCAAAAGCAACAATGATGTCTATGGGTGAGCCGGATCCATCTGTCGAAGAGATTCTGTGCCGCAACGCTCGGGAAGGCACAGAACTGCAAGCGTATCGGCCTGGGTTACTGTGGTCAACAGTAGCGTTGGCATATCACACGGTATGGCTTGCAGCTGTGGCCGTCGGTCTGAGGTAGGAGGCCATAGGCAGTTCGAAATGTAACAAGAATACTCTACCGTACTTTGCTGATGAAGGACACACGAAATTTTAGTTTAAGCTTGCCTCACCACTATACCATTTGCCATGTATCCCGATCACTCTCGGTTTTCTGCATGTTTAAGTTATATTGTATGTGATTTTTTTCCTTACTTTTGTTTATATTCTTCACCATTTCTCAAGAGAAGATATTCAAGAGCTCGAACTCTGTTTGCAATGTGAACATGATGGAAAGTTAAATAATAAATTAAAATTAAAATTAATAGATAGTCTCTCAATGCGCCACGAGCCGAAAGCATTTGGAAACACACATTCACAGAAGTTTTTTGGTCGAAGTGCAAACTTACCTTCAAAGTATCGTTTTACCTTCGTTTTACTACAGCTCTTTTCAATACCTCAACTTCTTCTCCTCAATTTGTTACTGAAATATTAGCTTGAAAAAGTGACAGAGAAAGGTCCAGAGGTACACGAGACAGTTCAAACTGTTCGTTGACTGTAGGTCTTCAGGTTTACTTTGTTCCTTGCGCGAAAACATACAAACATACGATAGTGCAACTGCACGAACGAAATTTGTTTCTTAAACCTCTAAATATTGAGCGTTAACTAAGTTAGAATTCATTTACGCAGCGATGTTGCACTATCTACATCGAACGTCTCGCAACACACCTGAGTTTAAGTTTTAGCAAACATGTGAGCTGAACTCTTTTTCTGTACACACTGTTCTATCATATCCGCGAGGAAGCATACTGAAACACTTCTATCGCTTGGAAGTTTCCGACAGGTTTTCTGGAAAACCCGACCCCGGTTTGCTTTGACCAACCTGGTTTCACAGCTTCTGTGAGATTTAAACGCAATTCTGAGTCCAGTCTGAAAATTTCAACAAGTTTGGATGGAAAGCGACTGACTTATCAGCGTTTTAATTTTGTAAGATTTTTAGAAAAGTTTTTCTACAAAATTTCGGCTTCGCTGAAGGTTGCTTGACTCCCAAATGAAAATAAGCATTGCCACGATGGGCAAGACACAGGATAACCTATGTACCATGTGCTTTTGGAGCTATCAGAGGTGTCTGGATCGAGAAAGGTACCTCGCCGGAGAAAACCAATAACTACAGGACCATCCATGCTCGAAAGCTGAGACTGGTCTAGAAATGAAAGATAACTTCCATATTATCGAATCTACTATTTTGGATTCAAAATCCAACATTGTTTTGATTAAGTGCAAGCTTTCGTAGAATGTCCACGCAACGTTTACCACTTTGAAGTAGTATTTTTGCTAATATTTTTACAAAGGCTCGAAGCCCCCATCTTTTGGTTCTCTTGTACTGGAAACTGTAGCTGTATAGCTCTTTTCTGTTAAAAGTTATAAGAATTTGAATGGACTGCATTATATTTTGAAACGTATAATAGTCTGTTTCTACTTCGAATTGCTGGCAAGAAAACATAATTGATTGATTCTATTTGAACTAAGACTGTGTGGAATCAACGAGTTTTTAAGGTAAACGTACTTTGCGCGCAGTCCGCTTTGTGACTAGTAGAAAGTAGTTTGATTACTAGTAATTAAAACACATCATGTATTAACATATGGATTCAATGGTTCCCGAACTCAGCTGGCTCTTTCGTTATTTCTGTACTTTTCATTACTGGTTTTGCAATTGTCACCATCTCCACTCTGTCTTTTTCGATCGAACTTGTAGTATAGGTTCTTCTTTTTTATGTGCATCGAAGTATCCTTCATGCTTGAGCAGACATGCAATACGTTTCTTTTAAATTTTGTTGCTGCTAGTGGTATAAGGTCAAGTTTTTAATGCACATAAGATCTTAATTGTACATTAAAGGGTGGAGGAATGGAAACCAAATTGAATGGATAATTATTTCCATCAAGTACAGAGGTAATGAGTCATGAAAATGAAAATG